AACTTCACGTGGCCTCAAGGTGCACATGGCCTGCACAAGCGTCGTGGAGACGTCACCGCCACTTAGTGGCGAATGGCGGTTGTCGTTGTTGTTGTATTCCTAACAGCACTTGCCCCAACAGTCTGTTGAGGCTACACGGGGGATCTTTGTCTTTGTTGTCCCTAACAGCACTTGTCCCACCAGCAGTCTGTTGAGGCTACACGGGGCGGGGGATCTTTGTCTGCTGGGGCAAGTGCTGTTAGCGACATCAAAGACAAAGATCCCCCGTGTAGCCTCAACAGACTGCTGGAGCAAGTGCTGTTAGGGACAACAAAGACAAAGATCCCCCGTGTAGCCTCAACAGACTGCTGGGGAAAGTGCTGTTAGGGACAACAAAGACAAAGATCCCCCGTGTAGCCTCAACAGACTGCTGGGGCAAGTGCTGTTGGGGACAACAAAGACAAAGATCCCCCGTGTAGCCTCAACAGACTGCTGGGGCAAGTGCTGTTGGGGACAACAAAGACAAAGATCCCCCGTGTAGCCTCAACAGACTGCTGGGGCAAGTGCTGTTGGGGACAACAAAGACAAAGATCCCCCGTGTAGCCTCAACAGACTGCTGGGGCAAGTGCTGTTGGGGAGCACCTATGAAGGCCGGCACGGCACACGAGGGGGTGGGTGGCCAGCAACCACGCCCGCCCGCCTTTGTCTCCCCCAGTGGTGATGGTTACTACACGCCGCACCAGGTACTCATTTGAGGCTGAGTCGACCTAGGGGAGTCGACCTAGAACCGGTTCAGACGATCGTCACCGACCTTGGCCGTGAGCGGGAATCGAACTCGGGTTCCCGGGTTCGTAGCGGAGCTGCGCTAACAGCTGCGCCACCCCTGTTAGCGACACGCGTGCACACGTGTCGCATCCATTCACACGCGTGTGCACGTGTGTGTTCACGGGGAGTGGTGGTGCAGCGGTTAGCGCGCTGCGCGAAACCCGAGTTCGATTCCCGCTCGCGGCCAACACCCGGTGACGATTTATCCGAACCGGTTTTGGGCCTCCCCTAGGTCGACTCGGCCTCAAATGAGTACCTGGTGTGGCGTGTAAACATCGCCACTGGGGAGACAAAGGCGGCCTGGCTTGGTTGCTGGCCACCCCACCTCCACGTGGGCGCCGTTCGCTAACAGCACTTGCCCCAACAGTCTGTTGAGGTTACACGGGGGATCTTTGTCTTTGTTGTCCCTAACAGCACTTGCCCCAACAGTCTGTTGAATGCTATACGGGAGATCTTTGTCTTTGCTGTTACTAACAACACTTGCCCCAACAGTCTGTTGAGGCTACACCGGGGATCTTTGTCTTTGTTGTCCCCAACAGCACTTGCCCCAGCAGTCTGTTGAGGCTACACCGGGGATCTTTGTCTTTGTTGTCCCCAACAGCACTTGCCCCAGCAGTCTGTTGAGGCTACACGGGGGATCTTTGTCTTTGTTGTCACTAACAGCACTTGCCCCAGCAGTCTGTTGAGGCTACACGGGGGATCTTTGTCTGTGTTGTCCCTAACAGCACTTGCCCCAACAGTCTGTTGAGGCTACACGGGGGATCTTTGTCTTTATTGTCACTAACAGCACTTGCCCCAACAGTCTGTTGAATGCTATAGGGTGACCTTTGGCCTTTTGTGCGTGTTGGCGCGTGTATGTTTTACACACTGCACCACCAGCTGCACTCATTCAAGGCTGAGTCGACCTCGCAGGGGCTACGCACGCACGAACGCACGCGTATGTTGAACTTCTTTCGCACCGTACGTAGCTAAACCGCGTGCCAATGTCCCAGGAACAAGCGCCAGGCGTGCCCGGGCTACATTGGGGTGGCGTTCGGCGAGGAAGGGGGCCTGACACTTTGTCTGTGTACGCGGCGTCTGATAAAGAGCGGTGGCTTCCCAATCCTCAGGTGGTTTCGGTGGGCGCGTGATCAAATTTGCGACGAGAATATAAAAAAATGCCTTTGCATTCCACGAGCTGGATATTCCTGAAAGCGACGGAGAGACGACGAGCCACTCGCTCCCCTTCATCAGCCACTCAATTATTATTAAAAACAAAGACAAATACCCCCCCCACCCACCACCTCCTTGCCATATAGCCTGAACAGGCTGTAGGGGCAAGTGCTGTTAGCGAGCACCTAGCAACACACCTGGCCGCCTTTGTCTCCCTACACACCGCACCAGGTACTCATTTGAGGCTGAGTCGACCTAGGGGAGGCCCAAGACCGGTTCAGATAAACCGTCACCGCTGGTGTTGACCCCTGAGCGCTCATTGAACCCGGGTGGCCGGGTTCGTAGTGCAGCGTAGCGCCAACCGCTGCACCACCTCTCCCCACCCCAATTAATAATTAACACGACCCGGCCCAAGCGCGACGTTTCGGTCGCTAAGCTCGCGGACCGGGGTTCAAGATGCGAACTCCGAAGAGGGAAAACAACAACAACAATCGCCTCACTTCGAGCAGAATGCGACGGTTCTTGGCGTGAGACTCGGCATCGTTGTGGACCCACGGTCGATAATTGCAATCAGACTTCGCATGATCCGTGTCCGTGGTGAATTCACGCGCGGTGGGATGGGAATGTTCTGTGTGGCACGATCACTTGACGGGTTCTCTCTCACCCGGCTGAACAGTGGTGGGTCTGCCTTCATGAGACCAGATAATTCGATATGTAACACGATTTTTGTTCCTGGGTAGTAAGTGTCATTTTCCAATTGCTTTTGCTTCAAAAGTACAGAAAATTGCTATTATTTCCCACAAACTTTGCTTTTGTGACCAGGGCTTTACGTGAAGGAATTACACAAATGCACGCAACGTTTTCTCATTGCAAATAGGTAAATTTCAAAATATCACTGTCCTGGTCACAAAAGCAAAGTTTGTTGGGAAATAATAGCCATGTTCTGTACTTTTGAGGCAAAAGCCATTGGAAAATAACCCTACCCAGGAACAAAAAAAATGTCTTCGTGACACAGTGATTAATATAATCAGTTGGGTCGTGGTGGGAGAATATAAGTCATGCAGTAGTATAAATAACCAGACAAAACGCCTCCCTCTGTCCACGTAAAGAAATTAACAATGAAATTGTCGGGGGGGGAGGGGGGGTCGTGGGGGGGAGGGTGATGAGGGCCACTGATTAAGTTAGTGCTGGGCCTGTAGCACATGTTATAAAGGGGCCCTACATTTAAAAAATACACATATTAAAACACAAATTGTTTACTTGCACAGCAAAGTAATTGTATTTTTTAATTTGCTTTAAAGCCAGATAATACGACAAATCGTTAACCTTAAACACCCAGTCGTTCATAAAAGTTGAAGGTAGTATAGTACTATAGTAATAACGCAAGCGCAGAATCACTAAACCGGAATTTATAGCTTAAAAGCATTTAGCGCGGGGTCCTTGAAAGTGCGGGGCCAGTAGCTACATGTGTAGCTACTTTTGCTAGTAGGATAATCCAGCACTGCCCATGGCCGTGGTTGGTCACAACATTTACGCAGACTGGTTGGGGCAAGTGGTGTGGCCAGAATCGAGCCAACCAAACAGCCTTTGTTTTCGCCAGTGTTGAGGTTCTACACAGGTGCTCGTAAATCACTCGCCAACGAGCTCAGGCCACCTAGGTTAGTACGACAACCAACTACTGCGCCACCGCCCCCCCCCCGCGCCCCCCACAAAAAAAGACAAAGATCCCCCGTATAGCCTTCAACAGACTGTTTCGGCAAGTGCTGTTAGCTAGTAAACACCCTTGAAGGCCACAACGGCACACAGAGGTGGGTGACCAATACCACGCCCGGCCGCCTTTGTCTCCCTAGTGTTTAGACACCCCACCAGGTACTGTTGAGTCCATCTCCGGGGAAGCCCAGAACCGGTTCAAATATTCGCCTCTCGTATTGGCCGTGAGCGGAAATCGAACTGAAATGGGCCGGGTCGGAACTGGAGTGCAGTGTGCTAACCACTGCGCCACCGCTCCCCCGCCCCTACACACACAGTCGCTGCTGGTGGCGAGACAGGGCACGAACGCGCCCACGCACCCTACCCAGCTCACCGTTTTGCACAAATTGGATGCCATCCCAATTATAACGCTTCGTCTTCAAGCGCGTATTTTTAGAAACCGCTGCACTGGTAACAACTGTGAGGTCGACGGAAAGGATATTTCGGCGAACGACCGGGTTGTAAGGCGGCGAATCGATTAGCGGTGACCACACGCGAGTATGTGGTGGAGCAGAGTCTGGACAGGGAATTATTTCAGCCAGAGCTATCCGAGGGCTGAGCTCCGGCTGAAATATTTTGCGTGGGTTTTGGGAGGTTAGTGGGTCCCGGCAAATGTGTTTAACGACAGGTGGAGCCGTGATTGTGGGTAATTAAATCAAGAAAGTCGAGTTCCATTTGTTTTTGTACACGTGGGTGGGTGTACACGCACAACAAACCTTTGATCAATTCCACTGCACGGATGAGAGTTGCCCTACGCAGCTGTGGGTGGCGGGGACATTGGACCGTTCTTCGCCACTCCGATCCGTCCTGGTACGGTGAAGGCGGAGAGCAGCTAGGACGTGGGAGCATAGGGAGGCACAGTACAACGATTAATTTTGCCGCAACTGCCTTCTGTTGGTGTACCGTGTGGCCCCTCCCAAGCCCTAAGGCAGGGGTCCACAGTCCGCGGCTCCGGAGCCGCATGCGACTCTTCAAGGGACCGCTTTGTGACGTCATTCATTGAGGACCGCCGTCTCGGATTCACCACGCGGTGTGCATTGCGGCTCTTGAAATATTACGGGGGGGGGGGGAGGTTGTTTTTACCGAATTCGACAAAAAAAACATGGCTCTTCTTGTTATTTTGGTTGCCGATCCCTGCCCTAAGATGACCTCTTTGTGCGTGGCGGTCACCCGTCACAAGCAGTGTCCAGGATCAACCCGGCCTTGAAATAGGTCCTCAAGGTGAACAAGCTACGCGTTAATGCGTCGCCCTGTTGGCCTCCTAGGCTGATGTTCACCGACGGCGTTTGTTTCAGCAGGCACACTCCGGGCCGGTTTCGATCATCTGAGGCTATCGGGCTTTCCTCAACAAGTACTCAACGGTGAGAGCGGACATCATCGGCGGCAGCTATATTCCTCTAAACGACACGGCCCTGGCCGGGCAAACACAACAATGTAGCTGCGTTAAAACATCTTTCTGGGCCGTGCATCGAATTACACGGCGAGTACTCGCTGAACTTCTAAGCTCCCCCACGTTTACCGATCCGCACAACGATCAGCGCGGTAAAGAAAACGGCCAATTCAACCCCTTGCAACGAGAGACGCGGCGTGTGGGAGTCCGTCATCCAGCAGTAGATTGCCAAATTGGGCTATGATTTGAAGCTTTCGTGACTGCAGGAATCCGTACTCTTGAATCCATACTGCTGTTCATGTTTGAATTGCCTCCTGTGCGTTTGTGTGCAATCATTGTGAACCGGGGGGTTGAGCATTAAAATTATTATTGTCTTAATCTATCGGCCCGTCGGCTATCATCATCTTCAGCCATGATCAATCAACTGCTGAATGAATCCTCCTCGCCGCCCCTCCATCTCGACATAATATCAACGGGCTGCATTTGTTTAAGCCAACAAATAATATCATACGCAAGCACAGAAAAGCCGGTGCAGTGGAGGGGCATTGAATTCTACAGAGGCCCCTAAACCATATCCCCCGGGTGTCAGGGCCAACGCTTGAGTTATTTCGGCTATCTGCGCGTGGTATACGTATTATTTTATCGCGTGTGTGTGAGGGGCCCTCGGTATTGACTCAACATGACAGAGGGAGGGAGGGAGGTCACGCGGAACTGTGCCGGAAAGCAGCCCCCGCTGTTGAAAGGGAGGTGGGTGGTGTTGGGGTGGAATCGCGTTTTTGAACGCCCACACAGCCAGGGATCATCAGGCAAGGCTGGGGGGGGGGGGGGTCTTTGCCTTTACAATGCAGAGACGGCCCCACTTCGCGGTGCCCCCCCCCCCCACAACGAAGGCGTTAACAGCGTGGCAGACGGACGTTGCCAAATGGCACGAGCGAGGTCAATTGCGCTCGTGTGTTGGAGAGCAAATCGTGCTGGCACTGGGTTCAAATCCAGGGTTCCACCAGCCATGGTTAATCTGGCTTCTCAAGTGTAGTGAATGTATTGATGGTCTCACCCCAACCCCCCCCACTCCCCTTGTTACAAGTGACTGCACAAAAGTGATTACATTTGTGGCGGGGAGTTTTTTTTTCAATTAGCTCGCATTTTCCCCCAGCTGTGATGAATAACAACTTCTAATATTAAGTTTGATCGACATGCCAGAAACGAAACCGATTAGCAAGACGAATAACCCGAATCTTAATAATAATAACGGATGAGGCAACTGCAGAGAACTCGAACGTCGTTCTGTCAACTTCCAGAGGCCGTTCTCTTTTGCTGCGATCCCCGCATCACGATGATGGTCCCTTGCCAGTATCAAAATTCAAGATTCGGTTTGACCCATTTCTGGCAATAAAACAGTTGTGTTAAGATGGTCAAACAACAAGTGGAAACATTTTGCAATATAATCATGTCGGCATTAAGCACACGTACTCGTGGCGAACATGCAAACAAACATGCTCTATAGTAATATATGGCATTGTGTTTGAAACTGATTGGCCCACACCAGAGACGGCTATTCGGTGTTTGAACATCTTAACACTTGTTTTATTGCCAGAAAGGGTAAAACCTATTCCTATGTCATGATGGAGGTGTTAAGCAATCATCAGACTCGCGTGGCGTGCAACGGCATAATTTGTAATTGAATGAGAGCGTTTGGTAAGCACATGAAGACGACGTCCCACTGCGTGCAACGTACAAACGCCGAGCACAGGAGTTTGGCAACTGAATGCGTTCGGATGGTCGGGCAAATACTGTTAGCGAGCATCTATGAAGGCCAATTAAAAGATAGAATGTGACGCGGCAAGAAACCCGTTACACGCTCAGACAAAACCACCGATGATCAACTTGATCCGGCGACAAATGATTTGGTGATGCTGCGCTGGCCGTGTCGCACGAGCACAAAATAACGATGCGCTGCGGAGAAGGGATTGCCCAAGGCGTAACCTATCACTTTACAAGTCGGCTGGGCTTACGATCCCACGTGAACGGCACCCCGAGTTTGGGGGTAACGGCGCGCACGTTTATCAATGCCTCCTCGGGCCCTCGCGATGGCCGCGTGCACGCAGTCTGTTAGGCCGTATTCACGATGAAACCTCCGCCCGCACTCCGTGAGAGTTTTTTTTATTTTGCGCAAGGCTGCGTGCAGTGACTACTGCGGGGTTCATCAGCGACGCGATGATCCTCGTGGCTCATGTCCATCACTGAGAACCACCGAATGGGTGCAGATCCCATCAACCTACGTGCCTATGTTTGTTTAACACGTAGGCTCTTCGCGGCCAATATCGTCCATAATATAGTACTCAGGTTGTAGATGTTGTGGCTTGCCTGTGCTAGTGACGAATCGGCGTGTTCCGTTTACGTGACAACCCTTACTAGTTGGCTGTGTCGGGTGGTGGCGGGTTTAACGACACATTTATATATTTACGCGATCTAACCCCCAAAAAAGCCTCTATTATGGTTACCTATGCAACCTATGTTTGTTTTACCAGATAAGGCCCGCTTTGATATCTAGCCCTTTTTTCTCAGAAGCGATCTGGCCACTAATGACAGCCCAACAAAGTGGCTTTATCGCGTGGAAATGTACAGCGTCCAAATGCTCTAAAAGCATGTTCATTCTAAATGTGGAGGGAAAACCCGAAGGACCCAGAGAAAGATCCACGCGACCACGGGGAGAAAGACACGCAAACTCCAAATATACAGCAGCAGGCGTCAGGGTCGGGATCAAACCCACGACCAGGCGAGGTAGTTAACATCTCACAGAACCCACGACCTCGTGTAGACCAGGCGAGGTAGTTAACATCTCAGAACCCACGACCTCGTGTAGACCAGGCGAGGTAGTTAACATCTCACAGAACCCACGACCTCGTGTAGACCAGGCCAGATAGTTAACATCTCACAGAACCCACGACCTCGTGTATACCAGGCGAGGTAGTTAACATCTCACAGAACCCACGACCTCGTGTATACCAGGCGAGGTAGTTAATATCTCACAGAACCCACGACCTCGTGTAGACCAGGCGAGATTGTTAACATCTCACAGAACCCACGACCTCGTGTATACCAGGCGAGGTAGTTAACATCTCGCCACCTGCAGCACCCAGGTACCATCAACCATTCAAACTGAACCCATCATCAACAACAACAACAACCATTATTTATCCACTGCTGGATGAAAGCCTCACTCCATCTCCACGGTGATTGCCTCCTTGGGCGTGTTTCCTCCTGTTGGCTTTTCTCTCCATTATTAATCTCGACCAATGCCCCAGGCCCGTTTTCCTTCACTTAGCGGTCAGCATCCTGCCCCTACCGTTGCGTACCTTATCTAAACCACGTCTGTTATTTTTTTCCGAGCCATCGCAATTTCTCACATTCTCTCCACGCAACAATCCGCGAGCTCAATTCCCAGCTCCATCTCCGTCGGGGGACGTACGCCCGTGGGTGGATGTTTCATCCTCTCCTTTGCGCCCTCTTTGCAATGAAAGTTGGCACTTTCAAATCCCGATTGGAAACGAACTTCTTTAGAGCTGCTTTTTTTTGCGGTTAGGCTGTTGTCCTTCCCCCCTCCCGCCCCGCGCCTCCGATTAGCACGGTTTGCTACGTACGGTGCGGAAGAAGTTTAACGTACGTACGAAACACTGTTAAGCGCTTTCCAGAAATGTCTGCTGGATGCAGTGGGAAAGTAACAAAATAAAATGCACCGATTAAGATGAACGAGGTGAGAACCTAAGAGACCCGGATGTAGCATCATTTGCAAGAGTGGCCTGGGACATCAGCCTGCCAGTACGGGGCAACAATCGTTGCTGCTGCTGAGCATAACCCCCAATGGAGTATTTTGCTGTGAACTTTTACAAATTTGACCGACACATTTTGACCCCTGATGCCGACACACAATGGGCCTGCTCTTGCGAATGACGTCAAGGGACGTTCAACGTCGGTTGTCACACGCGCAGTGATAACCAGGGCGGCCACTGGATTCTAAACCGCGAACCTCTGCAGAAAGCGGCGAACACGCGACCGCCCAGCAGCAATCCCACCAAGCGACGGCTTCAGCACTTGCCTTACTTTGACGATGGAGAGAGGCAGTAAAAGTGTACATCCCGTGTGCCATTCAGCATTGAAATGTTGTGTATACAGGACAAATAACACGCAGCTGAGACGCACACATCTGGCTCACTCGTGTTTACTTTTATCCAGTGTCGGATTATCCTCGTAGCAAAAGTAGCAACACGTGTAGCTACACATGTAGCAGCTACACATGTAGCAGCTACACATGTAGCAGCTACACATGTAGCAGCTACACATGTAGCAGCTACACATGTAGCAGCTACACATGTAGCAGCTACACATGTAGCAGCTACACATGTAGCAGCTACACATGTAGCAGCTACACATGTAGCAGCTACACATGTAGCAGCTACACATGTAGCAGCTACACATGTAGCAGCTACACATGTAGCAGCTACACATGTAGCAGCTACACATGTAGCAGCTACACATGTAGCAGCTACACATGTAGCAGCTACACATGTAGCAGCTACACATGTAGCAGCTACACATGTAGCAGCTACACATGTAGCAGCTACACATGTAGCAGCTACACATGTAGTAGCTACACATGTAGTAGCTACGGTCCCCACACTTTCAAGGGCCCCGCGCTAAATGCTTTCAAGCTATCAATTCCGGTTTAATGGTTCTGCACTTGCTCTATTACTATAGTACTATACCACCTTCAACTTTTATGAACGACTGGGTGTTTAAGGTAAGCGATTTGTCATATTATCTGGCTGTATAGCAAATGAAAAAATACAATTTCTTTGCCGTGCAAGTTAAAAATGTGTTTTAATATTTACGTGTTTTATTTTTATTTAGGGCCCCTTTATAACATATGCATCAGGTCCCGCACTAACTTAATCCGGTACTGCTTGTATCGCC